GTTCAGCATGGGGGAGGGTAGAAAATGAAGGCTAATCATGTTTTGGGTGTACTATTCCTTAAATAATGCAGAGTCAAGGCATGTTAGATTAGAAGGCTGAGAGTTAACACCTACTTGAGATGGAAAATGTGGGAACAGGGTAACGCCTGCAGCTTTTGGTCCCTGTCCCCGATGGACTCCCCACACATGCCACAGTAGAGCTCCAGCTCCTCGACACACTGCAGGAACTTCACCACCTGCTCTCGGAGCTCCTCCTGTTGCTTGTTGTTTCGGTAGATGCCTTCACGAAGGCAGTGTACCTTCAGGGTGCACAGCTGAAGTACAAGACAAACACAATCAACTGTTAGACTGCTGCAGTTTTGGTAAAACTCTATTGACCGACACTGATTTCAATCACCTTGTTTCCCATTCCATCTGCCAGTTCCTGTGCTCGCTCCAAAGATTCAAGAGCCTGGAGGAGAGGAAGGTATTTACCAGAAACAAACGTTGATGTTTGAAGAACAAGTTCAAGAAATGCATTAGATTTATCAAACAGAAAGGGTACTGGTATCATTCTGACCTTGTCAAATTCTTTCTGCAGAAGCCAACATTTTGCGACACCCAAGTAGACGTGCGCTTGACCAAGACGGTTTCCAATCTCGGTCATAATGCCCAGTGCTGACTCATAACGAGGGAATGCTTTCTAAAAGAATTGAAAGAAAGGCAGTGTGTACACATCTGTGTATATATCACAAAGTATTACAGTGAGATTACTGTAAATAAATGGGAGAACAAAAATGGAATTAAGCAGGTCGACTATACTGGACAGACAGGCTTAACATGGGAGCTTTCATGTAACCTTACATTGACATCATGCCTGCAGCGGTGTATGTCTGCAAAGTTTAGCAAGCACAGAGCTTGAAGAGGCCGGTCGCCATGTTGCAGGGCAATCTTCATGGATTCCTGCAGAAGCACAAAACAACCATTTTTCAGCATGGTCTCTGTATCCTTATTTTAAGTTCCTACATCTTGACAGTTATGATGACACACATGTTTAGTTATGTATGCTCTCAGTAAATGATGTCAGTAAATGTTTAAAAAGAGAGAATGTGTAGAATGTGGATACTCTGGTACTGAACCATCTCAGGATCTGTTAGGCAAAATGTGACAAATCTGAAATGTTTCCTGCTATCTTGTTGCTATCATTTCAAACTCCAAAGCAATGACATCAAGTTATTTTTCACCCTCTGTACGCAATTAGAACAGTGAGAGAACGTAGGCCGCCCTTTTCATTAACACTTCAAACCAGCGCCTCTGAGAGCATATTTTAGTAGATGTCTCAGGCCTCAGACAGCAGAGCAACTGGTGCTCGCACCTGTCAGCAGTAACCACAGCCTCTATTACAGCATCCTGGTGAGCAAACCTAGACCAGGAGATTCTTTAAGTCCCTACGGAGACGAGATGATGCGGCCGCCTTATAAACAATACCTCGCAGCACTCCATGGCGTCTGCCAGACGCTCCAGCTTCCTGTAGGCCACAGACATGTGAAACTGGCTCATGGCGCGATACTTGAGGCTCCAGCTTTTACCGTAGTCGTTGACGAGCTCAGCTGCCTTGCAGGGGAAGAACAGGGCTTTCTCGTAGTCCTGTTGTCAGATATGAACAATTAGAGCTGTTCAGTTTAAAATGCTCCAAATAAAAACCACAATAAACCACTTGGTCGAAAAATTAGTAGCAGCAATTATGGCAGAGGGACCACACTGGGAAAAAAATCAAAATCTAGATTAGTCATTTTTTCTTAAAGTAAGTGCATTTGTTCTTGGATTGAGGAGGTAAAAGAGACATTTTACCAATGGAACAAGATAATTTACACTTAAAATAAGAAAACACAATTGCATTGTCTTATTTTAAGTGCATATGATCTAAATATCTTATTTTAATTGTAAAAATACTCATTCCATTGGCAAACTATCTCATTTACCTACTCAAATTAATGGTAAATACACTTAATTTAAGAAATGTTTACTTATTTCAAGATCGTTTTTCCAGTGCAGAGCTGTATTACTTTCCCTCCAATGACTTTTTTCTGTACAAAGCTGATCAGCTTGCTCAAAGAAGGCAGCTATGCATTTTATTTAGCATTTTATATAATAATCTGCTTAGAAATCTTTGAGTTTGTATTAAATACAGATGTTCACATCAAAGAAACACCAACTATCACATCACAGATGAAAGTCTCATTCTGAAACTACAGTTGACAGGCTATAAACAGCATGTATAGTGATCTACCTAATGAAAGATTCAACTGATAGGGATAACTAAATGTCCGCCAGATATCAGCTTTTTTTTTAGATTTGTTAGTGACAATAATAGGAATACATTTTTTTTTTTATAAAAAATCCTTTGAAAACTGCTTTTATCTTATTTTCTAACCTTTATGTTTTGTTTTTTTCTTTTCAAAAACAAGTATTCATATCATCTTGTAAATATGTGGTATTGGATTTTGTGTAGATAGCATACCGCCACAATATTTATTAGTCAGGTTTAGAGTAGGAGAATCATATCATACCAGCTCATGTTCATTTATGAGTTTCATATTTAGCCAGATCCTCACAGTGTCAAAGAAACCAATCCTAGTAGGAATTAAAAGGGTTCAGCAGGAACCCCAACCAGTTTATTAGAGCAAAAATTACAAATGGAAGGCTGTGATGATTTTGTGGTGCTTGATAACTTCATTTGTAGGTATTATATAGAAAACCAGAAGATGGGGAAGAATAAAAGCTCTTTCACTAAGGTCAGGAGTTTAACGCTGGAAAGCAAAATCCAAAACTTTACTGTTACATTGTAAACCTTCTACTTCACATTTCTATTTATGAAAAGCAGGAGAAAAGCAATAGAATTAAGATCAATTTTCATTTTTTTTGCTGTGAGCTGTCCATGAGCATAAAGCTGCATTGCTGTTTGCTTTATACAGGCAAATAATACTCTGGCCCTTTCTCTGGTGTCTTGCTAAAAGCAGATTCAGTGAATTTTAGTTGATAAGCTGCTTAATTTAAAAAGGAAATTTAGACAGAAAACAGTGTAGACAGATTGAAATGAAGCATCCTATAGTTCACCTTCAGATGAACATAGATGTTTCCCAGACTGCAGCAGACTCTGCACTCCAGCATCTTGTCATCGTTGTTGTGTGCATAGCGCAGGGCCTTCTCGTAGCTCTCCAGGGCCTTCTGGAACACGCTGAGCCCCAGATAGGCATTGCCCATGCTCAGACACACTTGGCCGTTAAGCTGCAGGCTGACAGTGGTGCCCTGCATGTTTAAGCAGGTCTTGCAGTAGGACACCGTCTTCTGGAAGTCGCACAGCTTCTCGTTGCTACGGGCCAAGTTCAGGTAGCCTTCAGTTAGGTAATCTGGGTCCTCCATTTCACGAGCCGTGTCAATCTGTTCCAGGGCGTACTACAAAGTAGCATGTTGGTAAACAGAAAAAGATAATGAAAAATCTAATTTCAGCTAAGCACTGAACCTTCAACCCCTTTTAAACCATCTCTGTTTTCTGCTTTTTTGTCAAGGTTCTTTTTTATCCCCAAACTAAGTAACACAAAAAGTGGTTGTCAAATTATCATCTTATTTATTAATAAAGCTTCACCTTATTAAAAATTCCCCTTAAACCTAATACCTTATTGTCTCACCATGGGTATCTGTCATTAATACCTGCAATCACTGACAACATGTTTTACGCCTCTGTGAATGAACTTTGACCCATTCGTCCTTGCAGAATAATTTTCAGTTCATTATAGGTTTATTTTTTCATAAAAGTAAGCAATTTAAAGTCATAACACAAAATCTGTTCTGTCTGGACTTCTGGCCTCTAAAAAACCCTTCTGTTTTCTTTCAAACTTGCTCAGACCTTGACTTGCTGCTGTGCCTCAGATCATTGCCCTGCTTTGTAACTCAAGTGTTCTTGGGCTTAAGGTCCAAAATTGATGACCAGACTTTTTTTTTCTGTTTTCCTTTTTTTTTCCAGGGAAAAATTCATGGCTCCATCAGTTTTGAAAAATCCTGCATGTTCTTAAGCAGCAACACAGCACCATGATTCTACCACCACCATGTTAGACTGCTGACATTACGCTCTGAAACGCTGTCAGTTTACTCCAGATGTAATGAAACACACCCTGAAATGTTTCCCTCTAGTTTTGTATACCCACAGAAAATTTTCCCCAAACGTTTGAAGATTATTTCAAATCGGAGATGGACTTGTGTCTTAGTTTTGGTCAGCAGTGAGGTTTTGCATTGAAATCCTTCAGAAATACCAGATTCACTGTGTCTTTTTTTTTATTTTTATAAATGTTAAATCCTGAACACTAACCTTAACTCTGGCAACGGAGGAACAGAAAATAGTTTTCCTTAACATATAGCGTGTCATTTATGAAGGAAAACTGCTTTTTTGTTTTAAAGTTATCCCCTTGATGAATGAATTAATCATTTGAAAACAGTTTTATATATTTATTCAGAACATCTTTGTTTGATACTACATTCAAGGGTGAATAAACCCAAAGTTTCTTTTTTTTGTGAGTCAGCAGATTTTACAGCTTTCTATTTTGTAGGACTTCTTGTTTTTTGAACTGCACTGCTGTCTGAGTGTGGGTGATAAAATCAACAAGACACCCTACACTGACTCTAAGGTTGCAGGATACTTATTTACTCAGCTCGGAAGCCCACAGATTAATCCATGTTTCTCATGGCTGTAAATGGAAGGTAGTTTACCTTGAATCTCTTTACTGGAAATGTTCAAATGCTAGAAGAGCAGAATTGAGCTGACATGTTGATGATCTGACGTATGACGCGATGAAACACTGTAACACTGTATTTACAACTACATACTGATTACGTAATATGAATATCACATAGTTAATGGTTCATTATACTTTGATTATTGGCTGATGAGGGTATAGGACCTTTATTAAAGCATAAACTAAGGTTACTTTACTTTGATGTCATGTTACAGAATGCACCTTTAAAGACATATTTCATCAGCAAACATTGAGTTCAGGGTGTCAGGTTGCATACCTTGAGCATATCTTTGTACTTTCCCATTTCTGAGTGGGCTGTGATCAAGCAACCCAGCACTCGAAACTTCCCTCCAGGATCCGAGGTCTTTTCCAGAACTTTTGTCCAAACATGCAGGGCTTTGTCCGTCTGATTAGACTGATATAACTTCAGGCCCTTCTCTATCTGTTGCTTGGTTTGGTCCTGGCCCATTTCTGGTGCAATGCGCAATGTGAAAATATTCATTCGCTTAGGCCATGCAGTTTCATCAAGGCAGGAAGAAAGCAGATCCTTCCTGTTGAAGATTCCTTGAAGATGATCCCCTCAGAACGATTGGTACCAGATCCCGCTTTATCAGCTCCGGCTGAGCTGAGACGGAGAGGAAACTGGATCCAGGGAGGACGAGCGGTGGCACACCAAGAACATTATCACAGAAACTTTTGCAAAGAGCTGGAAAACTGAACTTGTCTCACATCAAGAGTTCTGAGATTTCTCCTTTTTAAATTCTGTTGAAAAAACATAAAAAGAACCAAGTATCCCAGCTGAGTGCTGGCAAAGGTTTCCCAGAATATCTGCTCCCTCCACACCCCAGCAAAAGGAATTCTTAGCACCCCCTTCGACCAACCACCCCACTCCACCTTCCTCCTGCTGCGGCTCCAGCAGATGGCCTTGTCACTCCAGACCATGTGTCCCTTCAGGAATTAATGTTCTGCCCTCAGCAAACTGTCCCAAGGTCACTACAGCTCCTAGCAATCTACCTTTAGATGAGCTAAACATGACTGAGAGATTAACAAGGCAGACACTGTGAGTCTGGACACTTTAAAACAAAGATCCCAAACAGGATCTGGGTGGACACATGGGAGAAGACATCGACTGTAACAAGAACCGACATTCTTCTGTTCAAGGCTTTTTTTTGGGTAAAAGAACTGCATTTCAGACTTTGCTGCTTATCGTTCTCATTGGTAGCTCTTGATTAGGTGCATTTGAACCCCAACACCCACCCTTGGACCCGCCCTCTGCAGCCGATGCTCAGAATAGTTTGTGCAGTCTGACATGTTCCTGAGCTTAGGTTTCAGCTGCACAGACTCCTGCAGAACATCAATGAGATCAGTGTTAGCCCTCTTGTAATAACTTCATTTCTTCTTTAACTTTTTTTTTTTTAACTCCAAAAATCAACGTTTGCTCAAAGTTGAATCTTTACCACCTTTAAGCAAATGTCCTATTGATCCAAAGGCACAGATGCCCGTAAAATATGTTTTAAAAGAGATCATGTGCATTGGTATTTCATTCACTTGTATCCGAACTTTGTTGAATCTCCTTTTGACACAATCAAAGCAGCAATATTAGCAATATCTTCTATATCTCAATCTGTCTGAAATAGCTGCACATGCTAATCTGCAAAACAGACCAGATTGCATGATTACATTTCTAACCCTTGACATAAATTCTCAATTAGATGCAAGTCATTTTAACACAAGCATTTGGTTTGATTGTTGTAAATCTGCTTGCAAAC